CAGCTCAGCCCACCAGGGGGCGCGACTGGCTGGCATGTGGTGCTGGGGGATTGAACCGCGGTCCCTGATGCTTTGCGAAGCTTGTTCTAAGTAGGTGCTTTAGACCACTGAGCCATCTCTCCAGCCCTGATTTTTCTTTTTTGACTTACCAGTAATTTCTTAGAAGAAATTTTCAGGTGGATAGCCAGGTGCGGTGGTACATTATGATCCCAGCACTCAAGAGGCTGAGGCAAAAGGATTGCCATGAGTTTGAGACCACCATAGGCAACTAGTGAGTTCAAGGCTAGCCTAAGTTGCAGAGTGAGAACCTGTCTCAAAAAAAAGAAGCAAACTTTCAGATGGCTTATAGAAAATAAAGGAAATAGATTGAAACTGGCCTAAAGAATATATAGGACTAAGATGGGAAGATATGGAATCCTAGGAGAAAGACAGAAATTCAGTTAAGAGTAGGCAGGAAGTCTTTTAAGGGAGCAGATGTTTGGCTTGTTAAACAACATTGAATGAATGGTGAATAAATGGAGTTGTATTTTATATATTTGATGGGCACAAATATCTGTCAGGATTTCAGAGTTGATTATAAGTACAGTATACTTGAATACTTGCTATTTTTATGTATCTGATTTTAATGTGCATAAGCATTATGTAAAAAACTTAAAATCTCTGAACTTCATGCCCAGATAATCTGCTTCAGTGGGTTATAGAATGGCTGTGAATTGGTGACCTAACAGCTTCCTAAGGCTTCAGCTGAGCATGACACTGTGAGATAGACTCAAGTTGCCGGTCTGCATAGCACTATGTGACACTTATATAGACTGTTCTTGATGATGTTTTATGCATGCCAACGGCAATGTGTATATTTTAGCTTATGTTTTAAATTTTGATGATTGTCTAATATATATCATAGATAAGTTAATGTTAAAAATGACTTAAGAATTGATTACTAAATTAACTATTTCCACTAAGTCTAAATTTTGCTTTTCTTTTGATTTTAAAGGAAATACAGAAAAGCCTATTTGAATCTTAGTAAATCATATAACTATATAGACTCCTATTTGCTGTCACTATTTATGTCAGTTAAAATCTTAGAAATTAGCTATGTTCCAGTTTTTCTCATGCACACACATAGCCTGGATGCTCTTTAAGCAAACATTCCCTTCTGACATGGTGGCATATTAAGGCACCATTTTAAAAACTGCACTTATGGCTCATTATTGGGTAATAATGCAGTAGATACAGTGGATCACTATTGAAATTTCTTTTTAATTGCTGAGGATGGAATGAAATAACATAATATAGAATGTACAGTATCATCACACATGAAAGTGTCCCATAATTTTTTTCTAAGTATGCATATGTATATACATGAGAGAGAGAGAGAGAAATATGTGCTTCATACCACACTGTAGTAAATCCCAAGAGGCATGAGGAGAAAGGGCATTCCAGTATGACTCTAGTATGATAAAGGGACGATCCCTTACTCTATGGAGTCTACTTGTAGTCGTGTTTAATACAAAGAACACTTTTAAGGCACATTAAGGTAAATGTGAGGTGAATACTGTTAAGGGTAGGAAACTAATAGAGGATTGAATGTCTGTGGAAGGATTCGTGTGAGAGGTAGGGTTTAAAAGATCAATAGATTGATAAAGAATCTAAGCAGATCTTAATATGGCATATTTAATGAATGAAGGAATGTGGAGATCACCTGTTGATTAACAGCGCTCAGGTGGGTAGTGACAGCCTGTAAGCTTTGGGCCTGTCAGTTACTCTGCTAGTTTCTTTAGCTTTTCCTATTTTGGATGACAAGGGAGCTTGGACATCATTCACCTGACATTCATCACCACTAACAAGCACCTACTAATCTATCTAGGTTCTGAAGTTATTTGAGTAAACTTGTAATTTTTTGATCAATGCTCTTGTTTTATTTCATTGTTTCATTTCCCTTTAGTCTGATGTCATACATCAGAGTGTGTATGAACTTATCCATACTGAAGATCGAGCTGAATTTCAACGGCAGCTCCATTGGGCATTCAACCCTTCACAGAATTCAGACTCTGGTCAAGCAATTCCTGGTAAGGATGATTACCAAAATATAGTGTTGTTGATTTTTGAATATGCTTCTGTAAAAGGAGTTGGGGAACCTTTAATGGTTAGAACTCAATGTTAACAGTGGAGAAATAGTGAAAGGTGTCAGTTTAAACTATAGGCCAGATCCGGGTCACAAGAGCCTTATGAGCCAAGGAATATTTGGTAAATGACAGGCATTGAGGAATTAAACATAAAGATGTTGCCATACTCAGTAATATATTTTATAAAAATAACTCTGGTACCATCATAAAAGATGTATAAAATAGAAACTAGAGTGCTTATAATTGCTTTTATTCCAGTCTATCAAATAAAAAGTAAACTAGCATAAGCAAGTATAAAAAGTATTTCTCAATGCAAGCAGTGTTTTCAAAAATCTATGAAAAGCGTTAAAACAATAAAAAGAAAAATAAGGAAATTGTTGAGCTCGATTAAAAATACAAACAATTAAATCCTGTGTGATAAAAGTTATCCAATAAGTTTTTGGTTTTCTAAATAATTTTTTAAAATGATTTCTTAATGCAGAATATAAGCTCCAGTTTTTAAATTAACTTTTTAAACTATTCAAATAATTTTATAGCACAGTAAAACATGTAGCTTGTGTTGCAAAATGGACTGTGTAGTCTGTGTTGCTTTGTTTCTTCAGAACCTCATGGCCTCCCACAGCCAGGAGTCTCTTATACCTCAGAGCAGCTTCCTCCAGAAAACTCTTCTTTCATGGAGAGGTGCTTCATTTGCCGACTAAGGTGCTTGCTGGATAATTCGTCTGGATTTCTGGTAAGATACAAAAACCTTAAAATACTGGATTATACTCTCAAGGCATAGAAAACAAAGAGAAAAGTTAATCTAGTTTTTTTTGTTTGTTTATTTTTATTTATTTATTTAATTTTTTTTGCAGAATTGGGGATTGAACTCAGGCCCTTGCGATTGCCAGGCAAGCACTTATTCTACTGAGCTATCTCCCCAGCCCAAAGAATTTTTTTTTTAATCTAGTTTCATTTGCTTAAATTTGAGTTCAGTTTTTAAAATATGCTTAATAATTTGATAAAGTAATTTTTAAAAATTATTACTTTAGATTTTTAATATTTTCCATACCTCAAAAGACAATTTCCTTTAGGATGCAATAATAAAAACTGGGTGAAGTAACATGGAGCCTTGTATCAAAGATAGATACAAATAGTCTGCCAGTTTTTAAGACTTTTTTTAGGTATGGTAGAGAATTATCTAATCTTTCTCTAATAGGAGAATGCTTCGTATCTTAGGCTTTAATGCCTGCTAGATAGGAGAAGTGTGACCTTTTTCCCATGTCCCAAATAATTGCCATATAAAAAGCTGATCATGTATTCGGGGTGCGGTATCGTCACCTGAGGTGAGACACTGCTTCCTGCTGCACGGTCTGAATCCTGTGCAGGGTCACTTCGAGAGCCCCGAGGAAGGGTTCTCAGAGTGGACCTGTGCTGCCCCACTGATTGTATCCTTCCCTGCTTACTGCACCAAGTATAGGAGAAGAGAATGCAGAGCCTGGGGACTGTGTTTGTGAATTACAGAGAACTTGAAGTAGAATAGCCAATCATAAATGAAGCAATTCTAAGCAGTGCTTTTTATTTCTGCTTATTCCTGGAGATAGTTCTGCTGACCCAAAGTTATATGATATGAGACACTTCTCCTGGTACTGGTGTGCAGAATCAGTTAACATGTATCTCTGAGGTAGAACGTCTAGGGCAGAAGGGGCAGAAGGGTGTTGTGTGCCTTCTGCTCGTGACACACTGATGTCAGAATCTTAGGCTGCTTGATACTGTTTCAGTCAACTAAGCTGATCATGTCCAGTTGTCTTCTGTCATCTAAAATTGTTCTTTATATTTAATACACTTCTGTATTCTTCATGTGATTTTACAATGAGTCACTTTAGTATTTTGTAGAAAATTTTGTGCCTATAGGAAAGATTACCATGATATGGAATATAGTACATGTATGTTTGAAATTAAAGTTTATCCCTATACGTTCATTTATTGATCCATTCACAGAATACACCAGGTGTATCCAGGGGTAGCATTCAATGAGAGGGTACTTGCACACACAGAAAACAGTCCAGGTCCTCCAGCGGTGACCATTAGAAGTAAAGAATGGCTCACTTACTCTAGAATATTGCACACCTTACTTTTGGGAGTGGGTTTAATTTCGCTTCATTTGGAGAAAGGAGTAAAGGAAAGTAGCATTTCTCAAGGTTAGAAACATCCGTGAAATATCAGATATCCTAGAAATAGTCACAGTGAAAGGGTTTTTTTTTTTAATAGAAGCATTTTGTACTGTTCATTTTAATGAACACTTTTATTTTTAAGGCAATGAATTTTCAAGGAAGATTAAAATATCTTCATGGACAGAACAAGAAAGGGAAAGATGGGATGCTACTTCCTCCTCAGCTGGCCCTATTTGCTATAGCTACTCCACTTCAGTCACCATCCATACTTGAAATTCGAACCAAAAATTTCATTTTTAGAACCAAACACAAACTGGATTTTACACCTATTGGTTGCGATGCCAAGTAAGTGAACTTGTTAACTTCTACTTCATCAAGTATATATTTTACTCTGTACAATGTGTAGTGTAAGTTCTAATTTTTATTATTATATTAGCTATTTTATACTAAGCTGTTTCATGTTTAATTTAATTTCATCAGATACAAAAATCATATTATTTTGAAATTTTTATACTTGCAAGGTTTATTCTATTAATTGCCTTTATTATCTTTATACAATTATTAATATCACTATTATGAATTTTGAGCCCTAGAAGTTCAGTAATTTCTAAAATTTACTTAGTAGAGTGATCTGAGTACTCATATATCGTATCAAAATATATCAATCTTTTCTCCTTTTTACTGGAGAAACACAAGTGCAGTACATGCATTCTAGACTTTCACCAAATATTTTGTGACCTTTAGAACATTTTCTATTAAGTTCATTTTTAGCCATACTAATTTCCATGCTTTATTCAGAAAAGAAACAAGCTAAAAATTTAGCCATAAGCAAGAGAGCAATTTATATACCTGAAGTTTTTCTACTCATGTGAAATTTTGAATGTCAAGTTGCAGAAAGTAGCATAAACTAGTGAATTTCTCTAATAACATGTTGTTTTAATTCACTCTCACTTTCCTTCTTCATAACAGAGGGCAGATTGTTTTAGGATACACTGAAGCGGAACTGTGCACCAGAGGGTCAGGATATCAGTTTGTTCATGCTGCAGATATGCTTTATTGTGCTGAATTCCACCTCCGGAGTAAGTTGTACTTCTTATCCATATGCTGTATCTGACAGAATGGCATATACTCTAGTGCATGTTTCAAGTTATTAAGTAAATATAGTGTTTAGGGAAGCTAGATAAACTTCTGCTTCTTATCATTCTATCTTGAATAATCATAGTGACCTTTTAAAAACTTAATTTGATTGCTACATTTTAGATATACGTAATGACCACATTCATCTTAGGACATTTGTACCTCTACATGGTGATCAAGGTTCTGCTTGCTTTTATTCCCATTCCCCAGCCCACCTGTCAACTCCTCATCCCCTCCTTATTTATGAAAGCTTTATTCCCCTTTTTTTCTTTCTATTGTCTTCTTTTCCCTTCTTAGCTTCTTTTCCCCCTCTTTCCTCCCTTGTTCCCCTTCCCATTCAAACATTTTTTCCTCTTTCATAGTATTTATTACACATTTTGATCTTCACCCTTTCAGTTTCCCACGCTAGAGAACAATGAGTGTTTGATTTATTTTGCCTAGTTATATGGTCTCAAGGTGTCCATCTATCCAGAAATGTCTCAGGCTTATCCTTATTTATGCCAGAGTAGTACTGCATTTTTTAAAAAAAAAAAAAAAAAAAAAACTTCAATCATTTCTTGATAAATGGATGTTTGAGCTGTTTCAAAGATTTAGCTTTTATAAACTGTGCGGCTTTAAATGTTGGTGTGCATGTCTCACTGAGATATGATGATTTTAATTCTTCTGGAAAATACAAAATGGCAAATGTTTGGGTAGAACAGAACCTCTATAGTTTTTGTTTTTCAAGTAATCTCCACACTGATCACCACAGTGGTTGCACCAGTCTACACTCCCACAAATAGTGGAGAAGGGTTCCATTTTCCCCACAGCTCCACCAGCGTTTGCTATTAGTTGACTTATTGATGGTAGCCATTCTTTCTGGAGATAGAATCTCAGTGTTGTTATCAGTTGCATCTCTTAAATGACTGCTAATAGTGAACATTTTTTCATATATTTATTTGCCATTTCTACTTATTCAACTGAAAAGTGTCTATTTGTTTGAGATGTCTATTTTAGGGTGGGGTCTTTAAATTTTGGAGGTCTGGGACCATGGAGATAATTCAGCCGGTTAGGCAAGTGCAAGAACCTGGGTTCAAGCCCCAGTACCACATGCCATGCCTACTCCGCCTTGGGCTTGCCAAGGTAGCCACCAAGACCTAGTGTGCTGGTGCATGCCTGTAATCCCAGGTACTAAATAAATAAATATATTTTAGAGGTATAGTTTTTTTTTTAATTATTTACCTACCCCAGATATTAGTCCTTTTTCTGAATAATAAGTGACAATTTTTCCCACTCTGTGGGTGTCTCTTCATTGTGTTGATTGTTTTCCTGTACAAGAGCTTTTTAATAAAATAAGATCCCAGCTATTGATTCTAATATTTCCCTTGTAGTCTGAGTTTTGTTCATAAAGTCTTTGCCTATACCTGTGTCTTCAAGAGTCCTCTGTATCTTCCAGCAGACTTAGTGTTTCTGTTTTAATACCTATATCTTTGCTCTATTTCAATTTTAGTTTAGTGTTTGGTGAGTGTCTCAGTTACTCTTCTCTCATAGCTGGGACAAATACTCGACACCCAAAGTGAAGGAAGGAAAGATTTATTTAGCTCACATTGGAGATTTCAGTCCATACTTGGTTGGCTCCAAGGCAGCATGGCACAGGGCCGAGAGCATCCTTTCATGGTGGCAGCAATGAGCAAGAGAGCCCAAGCAAGTGGCACCAAGAACGGCAAAAGAGAGGAAGTCTGTCTCTCTTATGTTACATTCAGGATATCTAGTGTAGCACTCACACCCATAATCCCATCAGTACTCTGACCCATAATCCCAGCCTTGGATCACCCACAATCCCAGTGGATCATGAGTGAATCACAAATTCTAGAAGTCTGCCCCATGACTGCATGAGGCACTGGGGAGACACCTAGAGAAAAAACATAACAGTGAGAGATAAGGTTTTAATATTTGGTATGTGCAAAGTCAGTTTTTTAGTGGCATTTATTAAAGAAGCTATATTTAAAGAAGCAAATAAATATATGAAAAAATGCTCCACATCACTAGCCATCTGTGAAATGCAAATTAAAACAACTTTGAGATACCATCTCACCCCAGAAACAATGGCTATCATAAAGAAATTAACCAACAACAAATGTTGGAGAGGTTGTGGGGAAAAGGGAACCCTTCTCAACTGCTGATGGGAATGTAGACTAGTGCAGCCGTTATGGAAATCAGCCTGGAGACTCCTTAAGAAACTAGGACTGGAAATCCCATTCAAGCCTGCTATCCCCTTACTGGGAATTTTCCAGGAGGAACTGAAAACATCATATCATAGTGATATATGTATACCTATGTTAATAGCAGCACAATTTGTGATAGCCAAATCTCGGAAACAAGCAAGATGCCTGTCACATGAGGAATGGTTGAAAAAGATATCATATTTTTGTACAATGGAGTATTACTGAGCTATAGAGAATTATAAACCTGAAGTATTTATATTTAAGTGGATGCCACTTGAAGATAAACTTATAAGTGAAATAAACCAGACCCACATGTATAAATATCATATAGTCTCCGTAGTATAAGAAATCAAAAGAAGAAATACAAATAGAAAGGCATAACACAACTGAAAGGAAAGCGAGAACTTGAGGACTGGACAGTGAGTAGAGGGTAAGGAGAAAAACTGGGAAACAGGACTGGCACAAAGCCATACACTTGTATACACAAGATGGGCAAGGCAATGATCCTGAGAAACATCAGCAGGTTTTTGAAACTAGCAGTTAACTGGTAGGATTCTCAACCTGACTGACTATATATGCTGATACCTGTGAACCAAGCAACTGCACTGAAGATAGCAATGTGTAATAGCAAGGTCACACTTGGAATGCCTGTCATTCTGGTCTTCTAAATACATACTTCTTGTCATGATATACCAATTATTACCATACCATCTCACAACTAAGATTTTTTTGTCTTTTTTTCTTTTTTTAAATGGGTAATAAATGAAAAAAAACACAAGAAAAAGAAAAAAAAGTCACAAGACTGTCCTGCTTCAATGCTGCATATGGTTAGATTTCTAAATTTCTGTGTAAAATTATGTTTATTTCTATTTTTTAAATTTTTTTCTTCATATTCTGTAAGGACTTAAATTTCAATACATCAATACTTGATGGAAGACACTTGTTCCACATTATGCCTAAGATGTTCGATATTTAGACAGATAGGGTAAACTGAACTGAATATGTTACAGGGTAATAATAAGATTCTCTTCTGGAGGGTTAGCAACCTAAGTTTACAGATCAAAAATTGGAGAAAAAGAAGGGCTGCAAGGTCCACCAACATTTGGCCCTAGCCTTTCAAGGTCAGTGAAGACTAGGGACATAGGAGAACCTGTATTGTAACATGATGTAACTCAGTTGTGCCCCCAATTTTCTGATCAAGGAGATTATGGAGCCACAGAGGAATGTGATCGATGATGTAGAGTGTGCCTAAGGAGAGTCACATAGAGAGAAAACTTTCTCTCAGGCTTTCACAGAGAGCAAATTGGTCAAGCAATAGCCATGACTCATCCACATGGCTGACACTGACAAACGATCTACAAACTATGGTACAGGGTTTCAGGATAAATCCTGAAGGGATTTAACTGATGTTTTCAGATACAAAAGTTACATTTCTTGTTATATAAGTCTTGCTTTATCTTGGTCTTAACCATCCATCAGAAAAGTATAAAAATGAGGTACAAAAAGTAAATCCATATGCTGAGCTGTAAGAGACTCAAGTCAACAACTTCTGACAATGCCAATCTTACAGATAACACACTACTATTATGAACCAGTGGACTATATTGGATTATTTTGCTGAATTCACGCACCTAGTATATTTAAATGACAATAGAATACCCATCTCTGACAAAACTAAACAAAAAAGGGATAGAAATGAAGGACAATTTTGTATCTGTAAAACAAAATAGTTAGGATAGATATACAGCTACTTTCTCTTAATTCAATGAGAAGAAAGATTTGTACTAATAGTGTTTGGACAGGTTATCATGTCTGCCTCTTGTACTATGAATAACCACAATGAAGACAACAACATGCAATGTATTAATTATTGAAACTGTCCTACTAATTGGTTTTGAAACTGTCTCATTGTTTTTTCTCAATGAAATTAATAAAAAAAATTTTTTTAAAAGAGGCTATATTTCTTCCATTGAAAGCGTTCGGCATCTTTGTCAAAGATAAGGTCACTGAGTGTGTTTTGAGTTGTGTCTGAATCTTTTACTCTGTTCCATTGATCCTCAGGTCTGGTGTTTTGTTTTGTTTTGTTTTTATCATGGTAACTTTGCTGCCACATAGGGATTTAGCAGATTAATTACTATGTAAATGACCACTTGGGTGCAAAGTTTTGATGAGCATTTTTTAATGGTATCATTATTACTTCATAAATTGTATGGATTTAGGTTTAAAGTTTAAAATTGTAAAGCATTGTAAATGTGTGGGAATGCATTCCCTATTTAAAAGTAAGTCAAGGGCTGGGGAGATGGCTCAGTGGAATAAGCGCTTCCCTGGCAAGCGCAAGGGCCTGAGTTCAATCCCCAGTTCCGCAAAAAAATAAATAAATAAATAAATAAATAAATAAATAAAAAAGAAAAATAAAAGTAAGTCAACTTTTTAAAAATCTTCCTCCAACCAAGTTAATATTATCTGTATACTGCATCTATTAACCCATGTCTTATCACTCTTACCTAATGTTCCCTTTAACATTATAAACATTTAGTCCAAAATGAAAATAAGACACAGAAATTCTGAAAAATTGTTTGTATGCCGTTAAAAGTTAAGATACTTATCATAATTGGTGGTGATAAATGGAATATATTCATCAAAATTTCAGAAATGGGTTTTATTTCAGAAAAGTTTTAAATATATTGATTCTGAGTGTGATAATTAATTTCAGTGATGAAGACTGGAGAAAGTGGCATGACAGTGTTCAGGCTTCTTGCAAAGCACAACCGGTGGACCTGGCTGCAGTCGAACGCACGTGTGGTCTATAAAAATGGAAGACCGGATTACATCATTGCAACTCAGCGAGCTCTAACGTACGTAAGCAGACTGAGAATGTGTCCCGTTTTGGCTCTTTGATAACAGTGGGGTTCATAAGTCTTCTTACATAAAAATTTAAAATTAATACCAAGGCAATTGAAAATTGAAATGTAAAATTCTATAGTATAGAAATAAGAGGTATGGGTAAAAGATACTGAGAAGACAGAATTCTGTCTTTATTGAGGAGTTAAATATGTAAAGCTACCCAAAGAGAATAATGAAAACTCCAAAATTTTATTCGTGAGTTTATGAACAAAAAATGAAAAGTTAGCATCTTCTGCTCTAAACACAGCAGTGATTAATAAGATTTTCTTACATATTCTGGGAATGAGTTCTTTGTCAAATATTTGCAGTTTCTACCACTGTGGAAATTTCCTTTTTGTATATAGCTTCTAAGATGAAGATCAAGATTGGTTTTTATTCTTTTATATATAGCAAATTGACCAGTAACATTTCTTGAAAAGATATTTTGGCCTTCAATCAGAGTATTTTGTCTGTGGTTGTTTCTAGACATTTTTGGTCTGGTTCCATTGGTCTAGTTGCCTATTTTTGTGCCCTTTATAGGGCCTTAATTACTGTATGTTTATACTGTTTTGATATTTGAGTACATTCTTAGTTTAGCTTTTGTTGTCCTCCAAACAACCTCTTTTTACCCTTTATATGTCCATCTGTATTTTAGAAATCAGTTTTTAGTTCCCAACAACATAATTTGTTGGAATTTGGAGTGACATTATATTGAAACTGTTGATCATTTGAGGGAAAATTAACATCTTCACAGTATTAAGTCTTCTAACCCATGAACATGGTGAATGCATGAATGTATATAAGTACCCCTGTAAGTCCGAGTATATATGTATCTATGTGTATAGATACTTGGGTATGTATGTATGCATATTGAACTCTCACCTTTGGTTGGTATGGCATGACCAGCAGTTTATGAATCTCTTTGAAGATACAACTTTTGGCTTATTGATTCTTATTGTACACATTTTCCATTTCATTTGTTTTCTCATTATTTCCTTTTTCTATTTGGAAATCACTATTTTTTCCAGTTTTTTCTCCTTCAATATGTATTTGAAAATACATATCAATTTTCCTTTGTATTACTTTACACCCCTTATTCTGAAGGCTTACTTTTATCCTTCAATTGCAGATATTTTTTTCTAATTTTAATTTTTCTTTTTTATTGACAAATTATTTAGAAATATAATGTTACTGAACTGTTTGGTGTCAGATGATTTTTCTATTTATTTTGTAACTTTTAGCTTAATTCCATTGTAGTCAGAGAATATTCTCTTAGTGGAGTTCAGTCCTTTGAAAGGATTTCATGTTATTTTGAAATATATGGCAGTTTATTTTATGATCCAGTATATGTTCTACACTTGATAAAATATCCCACATATTCCTGTACAAGATACTTGTTCTGTTGTTCAAGAGTGTGGTCTTTTTTTGAATATCAGTTTCAGCGGTCAAATTTAGTTATTGTGTTCATGTCTTTACATACTTATCATTATATGTGTTCTATGAGTTATTAAGAACAGTTCCACAAGTTTTCATTTTCTCATTACTGATAAGGCAAGTTACCTTTTTGTATCCTTTTAAAATACTTTTCTTTTCTGAATATCCAGTTAATATCCTTTGGCTTTTTATGTGACTGTTTTACCTTTTTTCTCTTTTATAGACTCATTGGAGCTCTTTGCCTCTGACAGGAAAGTTTGCATGCACATACTAAAGTATAAATATACATACTCCATGCTTTAATTTGATTTATGAATTGCTTTGCAAATATGTGGAAAGTTTTGATTTTCACATTGCCAGTTCCTCCATTCTTTCTCTGTAGGGCTTTGGTTTACTGTTTTATTTGCACATCCCTCCTCTGACCAAAATCATAAATTCTTACAGGTTTTATCATATTTAGAAAACATGCAATTTTTTTTCTGCAGGATATCATGATAGTAATATAGCCTAAAAATGTAATTATCATATTACATTTTGCCAAAAATTATAAATTCTAAGTCATTAAAATATATTTGTCTATATTTTCTAGCATGAGTCATGAGAATAAGTTAGGCCAAAATAAAGTCTATGCTCCCTGTTGTCAGACCCAGTTATATTTTACTTGCTATTTTTCTTTTTATTTAATATCTTGTTTAAAGTGTATATAATAAAAATCTTCCTAATATATGCAGACTTTTTTGTACCAAATTTTAGAGATGAAGAAGGAAGAGAGCATTTACGGAAGCGCAGCATGACGCTGCCTTTTATGTTCACCACCGGAGAAGCTGTGTTGTATGAGGCGAGCAGCCCTTTTCCTCCCGTGATGGATCCCTTACCAATACGGACTCGAAGCACCGCTGGTGGGCAAAACTCCGCTACCAAAGCTCTGGAGGACGCAGATTCTCTCCACCCCAGTTCCCTCTTGGCGGCCATAATGCAGCAGGATGAGTCTATTTATCATTACCCTGCTTCAAGTGCTGTCCCTTTTGACACAAATTTTTTTAACGATTCTATGATTGAGTGCAGTAATTGGCAAGACAGTATTCTCCCAGTGGGAAATGACAGTATCCTGAAACATCAGCCAATTGGACAGACCCAGGAGATGAACCCAGTGCTTTCTGGAGATCATGCAGGACCTTTTCTAGATAATAGAAATAATGAATTATACAGCATTATGAAAAACCTAGGCATTGATTTCGAAGATATCAAGCACATGCAGAATGAGGAATTTTTTAGGACTGATGTTTCTGGTGAGGTCGACTTCAGAGACATAGATATAAGGGATGAAATACTGACATATGTCCAAGATTCTTTAAGTAAGTCTCCATTCCTGAGTGCAGAGCACCAGCAGCAACAGGCTGTCCCTCTTAATGCAAGCTGTATGGTACAAGAACGTCTTGAGTTAGAGCAGCAGCAGCAGCTGCAGCACCACGAAAAACAAATAGTTGTGGAGCCACAACAATTGTGTCAGAAAATGAAACATATGCAAGTTAATGGCCTGCCTGCAGACTGGAGCTCTAACTCATCTGTGCCTTTCGGTTGTCCTCAGCAAGACCTCCAGCAGTATAACATGTTTCCAGATGTACATGGGGCGAATCCAGAGTTTCCCTACAAAGCTGAGCTAGAGACTCTGCCTTACGTGCAGAACTTCACTCCCTGTGAGCAGTCTCTATTACCCCAGCATTCCAAGTGTACGCAAATGGGGTTTCCCATCGGGGATTTTGAACCATCCGTTTATCCTACAGCTTCTAATTTAGAAGATTTTTCCAGTTGTTTACAAGCTCCTGAGAACCAAAGGCACGGAGTAAATCCACAGTCCACCGTAGTGACTCCCCAGTCGTGTTTTGCCAGGGCCATGTCAGCATATCAGTGCCAACCAGAACCTTCACGCAGCCACGTGGGTCAGATGCAGTATAGTGCGGCAGTTCCGGGCCCGCAGGCCTTTCTAAACAAGGTAAGGGTTCTGTGCAGCTGAATAAACCCTTTCAGAGGTTCTTTCTACCTTATTAATAAGTAGACATGAGTTACAAAATTTTTGATTCAGTGACTGATTTTATTATCTGCAGTGTTTATAGAACAGCATTGCCAGTTATATAGCTGGCTATTGTTTTATAAGCCTACAGTTTTTTCAGTATATTACTGATTTATTTCCCTAAATCCTGAAGGAAAAAGAAATCAAGGCTCAAAGGAACATGAGTATCTCCTTAATGTAAAATGTCCAAAATTACCAGGCAAAATTAGTGTGTTTAGAAAAGAGTTTCATTTATCTTTCATGATTTTTTAAGAATTGTTAGGATTTATTAAAAATTCAAGCTTTAAAAAATTTGAAGTTTTAAAAATAATTTTCTCCAAAACTTAGTTTTTCATATGTATTTGAAATGGGATTCAAGCAAAAATTAGCATGCTTTCTTAGAATGCCTTTGTCCTAGGTCAGTAGTGGGGAACCTTTTAGAGACCAGCTGCCATACCCAGCCCTAATCCAGTTATTTATCACAAAATGCCTGTGCTGCACTGAATCCTGAGGTTTTAGTTTAGAAAAAGCAACTCATACATTAACATCTTTGTCTTAGGAGAAAAAAACCCAGTAGCACGTGTGGCATTGATTTAGTACCACTATCATGAGTTAGCGCTGGAATCCAGGTGGAGTTTTAGTTTGTTTCTGGAGTTCTTAAAAAGTGACTCTGTGTCATGGGAAGCAGGTCTGACATTTTTCTTTACATGTGTGGGCAGAACTCTCTGAGCATTTGGTCTTTAACTGAGTATATTCAGAAAATAAGTAAGTTTAACACACTGGTGATACTTGATGTCTGTTGCCATCCAGGAATGTGTAATGGTTAAGAAGCACTTCAAGAAATTCATGGCACCAAACCAGCATTGTGAAAATAACTCAAGAATAATGTAGAGATAATGAATCCAGAATGCATTTATGCCGTTCCTTTAGAAAAATGTAGTTAGTTTTGAAGAATAGCTTGTCTGAGATTAAGTTCATTGACCTCTTTACACTGTATATTTGATATAGTAATTTTGAAATGTGTCATGAGGCCACAGGTATAGATTAACGGCATGAGAGCCTGTCTGGTAACCACATGGTCCTGAATTCAATATCTAGTACTAAAAACAAAACATGTGTCTTGAATCTTTATCCCAATTATTTCTTTGGCTTTTTTTACACATTTGGTTTGTCCAATCATATATGAGCTTTCTACAGAAAGTAGTAAGAAAGGTTTTTCTCATGGTCATTCCTGACATACTTAAATTATATTAAAATCTAATATTTAGAATAAAGAAAATATGGTAGCCTTGAATACCTGTCATCTTGGCCTTCTAAATGTGTACTGTTTCTAATGTCATATCAATTATTTCTAATTACTATTACTATCAATTATTGTTTCTTTAAATTTTTTAAAAGGTAATAAAAGAAAAAAGACAACAGAAATTTAAGATTTCTTGAAAGCAAGGGGTAATATTCTTTTTTAATTTTTTATTAATTTTAATGAGAAATAGCAATGAGACAGTTTAAAAACAGGTTAGTAGGACAATTACAATAACTAATACATTACAGGGCCAGGGAGATGGCACAGTGGAATTAGCACTTCCCTGACAAGTGCAAGATCCTGAGTTCGATCCCTGGTTCCTCAAAAAAAAAAAAAAAAAAAAAAAAAAAAAAAAAAAAAAAAAAAAAATTAAAACATTGCATATGGTTATCTTCATAGTACTTATTCAGAGGATAAGATGCAGACATTTCTTGTCTAAACAATATTAGTACAAATCTTTCTTCTCATTGAACTAAGAGAAAGTATCTATCTATCTATATCTTGTATATACATATACATATTTTTTTCACTACAAAATGGTCCTTTATTTATATCCTCCTTTTTGTTTGTTCTGTCAGAGATGGGTGTTCTATTGCTCTTAGAAAAGCTATATTTGTAGCACTCTTTAAAGAACCTTTACATACTTGATGCAGTTCAAATATTGTAGGTACTTGAATTCAGTAAAATAACCCAATATAGTCCAAAAGCCCATAATAATAGTATGTTATCAGCAAAACTAGCAATTATCAAAAGTGACTGACTTGGGCGTTCTATAGCTTAGCATATTAATGTGGCTTTACTTTTTATATCTGGTGGTTATACTGTTATGCTGGATGATAAAGACCAAGTTAAAGCAAGACCTATATAAGTAAAAATGTAACTTTTATATCTGACAAGGTCAGTCAGATCTCCTTAGGATTTACTCTGAAACCATGTACAGTAGCTTGTAGATCTTTTTCCGTGTCAGCCATCTGGATGAGTCATGGCCATGGCTTAACCAATTTGCTCTCTGTGAAAGCATGAGAGAATTTTTTCCCTCCATGTGACTCTCCTTAGGCACACTCTACATCATCAATCACTTTCCTCTGTGTCCCCATAATCTCCTTAATCAGAAAATTTGGGACACCACTGAGTTACAGGATGTCACAGCACAGGTTCTCTTATGTCCTGAGACATTACTGACCTTGAAGGGATAAGGCCAAAATATTGGCTATCCTTGTAGCTCTTCTTTTTCTTTAATTTTGGTCTGCAAATTTCAGTTGCTAACCCTCCAGAAGAGAAGCTTAATGATATTATCACCCTGTAACACAGGCAGTTGAGCTTAACATCACTATCTGTCTGAATGTCAAATGCCTTAGACATAACATGGAACTGATATTTTCCAGTATTCTAAACTTCATATTCCTATAGAATGTGAAAAAAAAGCAATTACATATTTTTCACAAAAATTTAGAAATCAAACCATATACAACATTGTGACAGGACAGTACTATGACAATTTTTTGTTCTCTCTTGTTTTCTTTTATTGCCTTTTTTTTATTTTTACAAACATTTACTTTAAAGAGAGTATAGTAATAATTGGTATGACATTAAAAGCAGTATGCATTTAGAAAACCAAAATGACAGGTATTTCAAGCATGGTTTTAGTGTTACACATTTCTGTCCTCAGTGTATTGCTAGTTCACAGATATCAGCGTACAGATGGTCAGGGTGAGAATTCTAGACATTAACTGCTATTTTCAAAAACCTGATGGAGATTCTTAGGACAATTTTCTAAATCATGTTCTTTATATAAATGTATGGTTTTGCCCCTGCAATATTTCCTAACTTTTCTATTTTCTCTCTCACATTGTTTAATACTTGAGTTTTCACGTTCCATTTAACTGTGTTATACCTTTCACTTTTTATTTCTTCTTTTGAGTTCTTGCACTAGGGAGACAATATGATATTTATATATGTGGGTCTGGTTTATTTCACTTAAGAGTATATCTTCAAGTGGCATCCACTTTATACATGAAGGCTTCAAGTTTATTTTTCTTCATAGCTCAGTAATACTCCATTGTATAAAGACACAACTTTTTCATCCTTTCCTCAGGTGATGGACATTTTGGTTATTTCCAAGATTTGGCTATCACAAATTGTGTTGCTATAAACATAGGCACACATATATCACTATGATATTTTCAGCTATTTTAGAAAAATTCCCAGTGGGGGGATAGCTGGCTTGAATAGGATTTCCAGTCCTAGTTTTTTGAGAAGTCTCCAGGCTGATTTCCATAATGGTTGCACCAGTCTACATTCCCACCAGCAGTGGGAAAAGGTTTCTCTTTCCCCCCAGCCTATCCAACATTTGTTGTTGGTTGATTTCTTTATGATAGCCATTGTTTCTGGGGTGAGATGGTATCTCAGTGTTGTTTTAATTTGGATTCCACAGATACCTAGTGATGTGGAGCATTTTTTCATGTATTTATTATCTTCTTGTCTTTCGTCCTCTGAGAAGTATGTGTTCATGTCAGTTGCCCATTTCTGGATAGAGTCTTTAAATTTTGGGGCCCTAATGGTATTTAGTTCTTTATAAATTCTAGATAGAAGACCTTTGTCTGGGTGCTTATCAGTCAAGTTTTTTTCCAAATTCGTGGGTTGTCTTTTTACTTTGTTGGTAATTTCTTTTGATGTACAAAAACTTCTCAATGAGAGGAGGTCCCAGTTGTTAATTCTTTCAAGTATTACCTCTGCGATTTGATTTTTCTTCATTAACTGTTTGCTTACCCATATGTCTTCAAGATTTCCTCCTACTTTTTCTTCCAGGAGATTTAGTGTTTCTGTTTTAATGTTTAGATCTTTAATCCACTTTGACTTTAGTTGAGTGCATGGTGATAGACCTGGATCAAGTTTTAATTTTTGGCATGTAGAGAGCCAGTTTTTCCAGCATCATTGGTTAAGGAGGCTCTGTTTCTTCCTGTAAGCATCTTTGGCCCCTTTGCCAAAGATAAAGTGGCTGAGTGAATGTGTAGTTGCTTCTGCGTATTCTAAAATATTCCATTGATCCTCAGGTCTGTTGTGTTGCCAATACCATGATGATTTTTATCACTGAAGCTTTGTAGTATAATTTCAACTCAGGTATTGTGATATCTCCTGCTTTGCCTTTCTTGCCAGGATTGCCTTTGCTATTCTAGGTCTTTTCTCATTCCAAATAAATTTTAGGAATGGTTTCTCTAGGTCTGTGAGGTATGTTGGTGGTACTTTGATCGAGAGTGCATTAAATCTGTGTAACAATTTTGGGAGTAAGGCCATCTTCACAATGTTGGTTCTTCCTATCCAGAAGCAGGGAATATCTTTCCATTTTCTGAAATACTCTACGATCTCTTTTTCAGAGTACTATAATTTTCATTGCATGCATCTTTGACTTCTTTAGTTAGGTTAATTCCTAAGTGTATCATTTTCTGCAGTGCTATTATAAAAGATATTGTTTCTCTAATTTCCCTCTCAGTGTGTTTGTTATCTGTGTAGAGGAATGTTATTGATTTTGGGTATTGATTTTGTATCCTGCTCTGCTACTGAATTTGTGTATTAATTCTAGTAGCTTTATGGTGGAGTTTTCTGGGTCTTCCAAGTAAAGCATCGTGTCATCTGCAAATAATGGTAATTTAACTTCTTCTTTGCCTGTTCTCTTTTATTTCTCCCTATTGCCTAATGGCTCTAGCTAATGATTCCAGAACTATATTGAATAGGAGTGGTAATAGAGGACATCCTTGTCTTGTACGCAATCTGACATGAAAAGATTGCAGTTTTTCCCCATGTATAATTATGGCAGCAATTGGATTGTTACAGATGGCTTTATCAGGTTGAGGTAGAGGCCATCTATTCCTGTTTTCTGTAGGACTTTGAACATGAATGAGTGTTGGACTTTGTCAAAAGCCTTTTTTGCTTGAGGTGAAAATTGGTTTTTGATTGAGGTGATCACGTGGTTTTTTAATTTGTCTTTATTGATATAGTATATTACATTTATAAATTTGTATATACTGAACCGTCCTTCCATCCCTGGGATGAATCCTACCTGGTCATGATGTGTAATCTTCTTGATGATTTGCTGTATTCTATTTGGTAGGATTTTATTGAGGACTTTTGCATGTATGTTCATGAAGGAGATTGGCTTTTAATCTGTTTGAATGTTTCTGTAGTTTTGACTGTATGCTACACTGTAAAGATTGTGTAATCTGTAAAACTACAGAACTGTGTATTTCTATGTTCTCTTTTTCCCTCCCTTCTTCTTTCCTTGCCCTCTTTCTTCCTTTCCTTTACTTTTCTTTTTCTTTATTTTTTTTTTTGTAGCAGTTGGAAAAACCAGAGTACTTTTAGAGGGGGAGGCAAGAAAGAGCATTTTCTTTTGATAATTCAGTTGCTTTTCTTTTCTTTCTTTCTTTCTTATTTATTTATTTATTTATTTGGTACAGGGTCTCACTACACAGCTCGGACTTATAGTGATTCTCCTGTTTTCAGCCTCCCCAGCACTGGGATTACAGGTGTGCACCACCACATCCGGAGTTGGTGGCCAGCTCCCAATACCCACGGGTGGGGCCGGCATGGCATGGGGTACCAGGGATCAAAGCCCGGTCCCTACTGTTACCTAAGCAGGCACTTAGTCTGCTGAGCTGTCTTGTTGGCCCTGATAATTCAGTTTCTTAAGTGTAACAGTGCTTGTAGTAATATTTGTTAATTTAAATGATATTACTGATAAGAATTGTTTAAGGAAATCATACTCATGATGTAATATTTTAGGACTATCAGTAAACCTTTAGAAAATAAGAACTGGTCATTTTTTGAAATAGTCCTGGGTTGTCTGCAACCCAGTATAATAATTTGAACATAATCAGTTCATTGACAGGAGCTAGTTGACTGACATGAGATTGGGCATGGCAAATCTACTTATGCAGAAAATGTTTAATAGGATTCATGACTGGTTCTCTTGACCTATTGATACCTGTGTGACCCAAAGACAACCTGGTAAAGTCAGTTCTATCACTTACTATGTCATCTTCAAAAATTTTTGTCAAGATAATGGACAAAACAAAAAGCAATAAATGCAGCTAATACATAGTATGTTCTCAGTATGCCTTTATTTTAAAAATTTACATTGTAACATCAGTAAAGGAATTTGATACATATTCATATGTCATTTAATGACTTATGACTTTTGGAAGATCTGTCCTAATCAGTTGTGTTGCTGTTTTTGCTTTCAGTTTCAAAGTGGAGGAGTTTTGAATGATGCATACCCTGCTGAGGTAAATACCCTAAGTAGCGCTCAGGCTGCCATGCATCTGTTTCATCACCCGGCAGAAGCCAGACCTTTCCCTGACTCGACACCCAGTGGGTTCCTGTAACTCTAAGCCCAAATTTCACCTTAATTTTTGATGAGTTTCTGAAGAATCACAGAATAAAAAAATAATAAAAAACCTGTCTGTGTTGGATGCCAGCAAGTTCACATGGCAGCAGTGATGCATGTTTTTCACAATTCCAAACCAAATTTTAACCATGGCTTTTATAACATTCAGCATTGTATGGACTGTCATTGTTAAAGCAGAAAATGCTCGCAGAGTAGTGAGACCATGTACATTTCACATCTTCTGGGTGCCACAAAATATGCAAAACTTATTCAGAGGAACTTAAGACCCTTTGAAATCGGGCAACTTTCTCCATGTGAATTATTTCTTTCAGAATAAAAGTGGAATACTTCAAATTTTGAACTTGTGGATTTTCATCAGTGGAATACATACCAAGTTAAAGACTAACTTAACTCTCTATATTTTTAGTCTCTGGTTTCTCACCTATAACATAATTTGGAGTTTTGAAGAAAAGATACTCTCAGTGCTTTTCTCCTGCATTGTTAATCAAAGTGCCTCACATTTTTTCTACCTGTAACACTGTAGGATGTATATTTAAATATTCTTTCCTTTTTTTAAATTAATAGCATTCTGCACACAAATATTACTTAAATTCCCTAAAATCAGTCATTTTATTAATTCAGGCACTTTTTACTGCACTACTCACCCACTGACTTCAGGTAAAGGGCAAATATTAATAGGATAACTATTTATTATGTAATATAGTTGTTTCTGTGCTTTAAATATTGCTATGTGCCTTATGTTGAAAAATTCCAAAGTAAAATATCTTTTTAAATTCTCATAAGTATTATATAGATACTAAGATAGTAGCACTTAAATTTCAACAGTGTTTTTCAAAAGAGATATACCACTGTTTACTGAAATCTTCACAATTGTAGTTGAATGTTGCCATATGAAAATCTGTTAAATGCAACAATGTTTATTAAATTATAGTGAAAAGAGGCAGGTTTGTATCTAGCTTTTTAGTTATATAAAGCAAAGCACTCATCTTGATGTGTATAAATTTTCTTTAAAATGTCTTACAGCGTCACTTCTCAGCCTTTGGGCTAAGATCAAGTGTAAAATGTCTTAGAGTTATAACCCTTTATGATATGTTATATTGACTTTATAAATTTTACTTTTTAAAGCAGTGGAAACTTCTAATACATTTGAGGAATTTTAAGGTTGAAGATAAAAATTTTCAGTGCGAAGTATTGTGTTGAATAAGAAGAATGGTGCATTGTACCACCATAATGAACAAAATGACTCATAAAGTACTGTCTACTTCACTTAAGAGTAGTCCATACCTTCTATATGCACATAAGTAACTTGGGCTTTGTGTATACTTTATCAGTGTGTTTTAAGAAATCAAATAGCGGGGCTGAGGAGATAGCTCAGTGGTCTGAGTGCCTGCCTGACAAGTTCAAGGACCTGGGTTCAATCTACCTTGCCACATGCTGTGCTGCCCACTGAATCCGGGCGTGGTGGTACACACCTGAAATCCCAGCACTGGAGAGGCTGACACAGGAGGATCACTACAAGTCTGAGCTGTGTAACAAGAACCTGTACCAAATAAATAAATAAAAATTTTTTTAAAAAAGAAAAATAGTGGGTCCATCTGCTTTTGTATTGACATCAAGAAAAAGAAATAGTGTCCTCACACTATTTAAAGGAAAACATGTCACTGTCTGCTATTCTTTATAACATTTGAAGTACATATGCACATTTTTAATATAAAGAAAAACATGATGCAATCTCAAAGATTAGTACAAAGATACATCTTTATAATGTATAGAAACATGACCTGAGACAAAGTATTTCAGGTCTGTGCATTTTCAATCACAATTTTAAATCTTTAGAATTAATTCAAGTGTTGAAAAGAGATTTGTCAGGGCCAGGGAGATGGCTCAGTAGAATAAGCGCTTCCCTGGCAAGCACAAGGGCCTGACTGAGTTCAGTCCTCAGTTCTGCCCGCCCCCCCAAAAAAAGAAAGAAAAGAAAAAGAAAAAAAAAAAAAGATTTGTCTAAAATATTTCACAATTTGTTTCCCAATTGAGTTATCACTAGGAATTTAAGCCAGTGATTTAGATTAATATTCTATTTTTACATTTATTTTTTTCTTTAAAAGTCTTCATATAAACCATTTTTGCTATTCCACATGTTATTGGATGAATTGTTCAGCTAAAAAATTGCGATTTCTAAAATTGTGACTATGATAACCACCTGTTACACGCTTTTAGATTAAAACTTTTAAAGCCGTATTGTATATTTTTACCTATATAAAATAATTAAAATTTGTCTGCAATAATAAAGTCACATTAAACTAAATACACCTTTGTCTGTATTGCTAAGTGCCAAAGAAATGTGCTTATATACCATTTTAAGGGATTCACTTGTAGATGGTGTAAATCTAAAAATGTGGATGCATCTAATGTGAGTTTTTCCTATAACAGCTTGTTCTTTTAGTACCTCAAGACTTACCAGTGTTTCTATGTTATAAGAAGCTTTAAATCATTGCTGTGTACACTAGTGTTTTTCAGTATTAATACATTGCAGGTAAATGTTTTCATAGTTTTTCTCTTTCCTTCAAAATGTTACTGTTTATATATTCCATGAATAGATTTTTATTTAAAGTATGATTTTTATATATTCTTATGAAACAAAATTGTATATAATACATATTGTAATAAATTAATGACCACATATGAGTAACCTATCTTAATGTAAATTCTCTTCTTTGTTATATATAAGGAAAATGATTCCTTATAGTGTATTATAACATTGTTAGATAAAGACAATCTATAATAGCTAAAAATATCAATACTTCATTAACTTATTCCCCAGTTTTCAACTTCATGCATTAAAATGTTTCTGAAATTGACTGGGTTTTTCTTTCCTCATATGACAGTAGGGATTGAACCTAGGACCTTTGCACTAAACCACATTCCCATCTTTCCATCCCTTTTTCTGTATGTATGTATGTGTGTGTGTATGTATGTGCTTTTTTTGTGGAAGAGACGGTGTCACTGAGTTGCTCAGTTGTTCAGGCTGAGCTTGAACTTGTTTTTTGGAGTTTTTTTGTTTGTTTGTTTGTTTGTTTGTTTGTTTTTTGTGGTATCTGGGATTGAACTCTGGACCCCGCACTTGGCGGGCAAGTGCTTATTCTACAGAGCTATCTCCCCAGCCCCAAGCTGGAACTTGTGATCTTCCTGCCTCGTCCTTAGGTAGTGCTGGAATCATAGGTTTGTGCCACCATGCTGTGATCAGATGTACTGCTCTTTTATTCTTTTGAAAACATTGTTTTACACATTTAGAAATGAGGAAACAGGCCAAAGAAGAAAAGTGGCTGCTGGTAGGCTGTACTCCTGATAATTAAGAATCTCTCTAACAGATGCTTTGGGAGTGCCAGTTCTGTTTGTCCTTTATTCTACTCATTGCTTAATTCAAATTATTTCATCCCCAAGAGGTAAATATAATTAATATAATCTTAAAAATGATTGAGTTTTGGGAGGTTTTGTTGTTGTTGTTGTTGTTTTGGGTTTTTGTTGGGTTTTTTTGTTTTTTCTTTCAGTACCAGGAATTGAACTCAGGACCCTGAACTTACCAGGCAGGTGCTTATTCTACTGAGCTATCTCCCTGGCCCTGATTGAGGTATTTTTATTTTAAAAAAAACTATCAAAATTACTAATATACTTTGGCAAAGACAATAATAGCCTGCCACAGATGTTCACTTTCTAATGTCCAGAACTTACGAATACATTAGTTTTGGAGGCAGTGAACATTTTTGCAGATGTTACATTATAGATCTTGTGTGGATAGCATACTTTGGATTTTAAATGTCCCACAAAGCCCGTGTGTTAAAGGCTTGTTGCCAACATGTAGCACTACTAGGAGATGCAGGTTTCTTCAGGAGGTGAAGCCTAGGAGAAGAAAGGTCATGGAGAAATGCCCTCACTGGGGATGCTGGCACTCTAGCTTTTGCTTTCTCTTTGTTCCTGACTGCCCTTCCTCTATCACACATTTCTGCCATGAGGTACTATGCCACAGCAGAGCCAGATAACAGTAGCCTGCACCCTCTGAAACTGGTTAAGAACAAACTCCCTTAAAATGATTTCTCAGGAACTGTGTTATAGTAAAGCAAGTCTGACTAACACAAAAAGTTATCTTGGATTATCCAGGAAGATCCAGTGTAACCACAGCATCTTTATAACAGGAAAGTGTGAAGGTCAAAGGAAGAGTTGTTAACTAAAGCAGAACAGGGAGGGGTGTGAAGAAGCTATGCTGCTAGTGTTGAAGCTGGAGGGCTACAAATTAAGGATTCTGGAAGCCTCTAGAAATTAAAAAAGGCAATGAAACTAGTTCTTTCCTACTGGTTCCCGAAGGAGAAAAATCCTGTTCAATTCTTTGATTTTGGCACATGTGACCTCTAGCCCTCAAAATAATGTATGTGTACTATTTTAAATTTGTATTAAGTTACAGCAAGCATAGGAACTAAGGCAGTAGTTATTTTTTTAACAAAGTAAAGGAAGCATTTAGGGCTCATCTCATTTAGGGCTTATAGTACTTTCTGGAAAAAAATTCTCTGTACTCTTGGCTATGAAAACTTCACCATTATGCAAAGAAGAATCAGAAAAGTTTAAGATTATCTCCCATCCCCCTTTGCACCCAGTGCCTCGGGATCTGCAGAAGAATCTGTATGTAGTGAAGCTGAAGGCTGTGCCTACTGGGCCCAGCCTTGCCTTAGCACAGCAAAGGCCTGTGGAGGAGCACATTGCAGCCTTGTCTTGTCCAGATGTTTTATCTTGTGTCAACTGCCATTGTTCACGGCCTCCCCTGTATTTTTCTCCAAATATTTAATTTATTTATTTGGTACAGGGTCTTGCTATGCAGCTCAGATTTGTAGTGATCCTCTTGCAGCCTCCTTTGCACATGCAATACCAAGGATTGAACCCGGGTCCTTGCACTTGCCAGGCAGGTGCTTCGACTGCTGAGATATCTCCCCACCCGCCTTACATGAATTTTTGAAGAAGGGTCCTCATAAGGTACCCTGTGTTCGCAAATGAGCCTACAAATTGCCCTGATACTTAGGAGAAAAATGGCTTTATTGCAGTGGATTAGAATTACACAAGCACTGTAATTTATATAGCTTCAAGTATCTTTTCTGCTTTAAAACTATTTGAAGTATTTATAGATATGCATCTAAGGAGCTTGTGGGTGAAAAAATAATAAATTTTTAATCCAACTAGAATATTATCACCAAATATAGTACAAGACCATTCTATGAGAATTTGTTTTGTCAGAAAAGCTCTTTTGTTATAATAAAACATACTTATTTTGTGATAACAGCACATACTTATTTTGGGCTTTGTACAATTTCAAATCCTTTATTAGAATTGACTTTTGAATACTCCAATATAGAGAGAGGTTTTTTTTTTGTTTGTCTTGTTTTGTTTTGTATCAGGAATCAAACTCAGGACCTTACTCTTGCCAGGTAGGTGCTGTAAGGTGAGATTTTAAGGAAAAGAATACAAGATTGTTAAACACCACACTGCCAGAAAAACTGGAGACATGGAAGATTGGACTGAAGTCATCTGGTTTGGGAATTCACATGCTTTGGAACACAGCCATCTCCTTTACCACAGTGTATGTTTCAAGATTTCCAGTGGATGCCTGAAATTATTATAGCGCTAAATCCTATATTGTTTCCCTATACGTACATACATACTTGTGAGAAAATTAGTAAATTAGATAGAGTAAAAAGTCAATAAAATACAGCGATTTTAGCAACACACTGTAATAAAATTTATTTAAAACTTAAGCAATGTTTATTTGTGGAATTTTCAATTAAAAAAAAGATAAACTGTAGAAAGAGAAACCTTGCATAAGACTAGATTAAAATTTCAGGGTGCTCTGTGATGGGAAAAGATAGTTTTTAATTCTTGGCCTCACTCACTACATTCATCAAGCATTTACAGTTTCCTAGAAGTTCTGATGTTGAACTGTAGGCCAATCACAGATAAAAGCACATGATCACTGATCTGGATCTACTGAAGAATTTTTTGTATTTTTATATCTTCTGTTATTTCAGTTGAGAAAATTGAGCTTAAAATATAAAATAATATTAAAGTACTTTTCAATTGTATCATAAGTGTAACCAGATTCAAGAATAGTATGACAGTTTAACTCACCAGTTGTGCAGAAGTTTCCTCTCCTTGCTTCAAATGGGATGTGAAATTGTCTAGCTATTCACACTGTCCTACAGCATTCAAGGTGGTTCCTTATTCTTTCCAGAATTCCATCTTTTTGGGAAAATTAAATGTGTGCTCTTCACAAAGGCCAGTTGACAAAATTTATTCCTACACTTCTGTATATATCAAAAGTCCTTAACTTCTAAATGGACACTTAAAACTTGGAAGTTTTCTGTTTAAAATGA